GCCTGGTTGTATGGTCGTCTCTGGGTTTCCTTGAGCTCACCAATTACCTGAACTTATTCAATTATATATAGGGTTTAAAATATTTATAAAGTTTATTTAACTTTTTATTTATAGTTTTAATTATTTAAGTAATTATTTATTTTTTCTTTTTAATTAAAGAAACTTCGGGCCTATATCCTTTACCTTTACGAGCTTCCTAATATTTAACCTATTTCGTATAAGTTTTATAGGCCCTATTTAGTTTTAATTTTAATAAAATTATAGTATAAATTAAATCGCTAATTTTCCTTTTACGTTACGTTTTTTTTATATCTTTTTAATTAAACTATACTTTTTTATTTTCCGGCTATTCTTTTTTACCGATATATACTTTATTTCCTTTAGTATAATATAGTCCTTACGCTTTATTATACTCCTTCTTCGGATATTCTATCGATTTAGTATAATAGTTAATCTTATTATACTAAAAATACTTTTTTAGTAAGGGAGGGCTATCGCGGTATTACCCCTTTAATTTTTTAAATTAAATTTTAATATTAATAATAAAAAAAGTATTAAAAAATAAATTTATTTTTTTATTAAAATTAATATTAAAATTTAAAAAGTAAAATATTTAATTTTTTAAATATTAAACGCGGGTCTTTATTATTTTAAATTTATTATTTCCCGGTATAAAAAAACTATTATAAATATTTACCTTTAAATACTATAGTACTATCTCTTTATTTACTATAATATTAACCGCTATATATTAATCGAATACTTCGGCCGCCTAATTAAAGGTAATAGGGGAAAGTATAATAATTAATTTATCCTTTTTATAAATTTTTTTTTTTATATTATACTTATTTTTAATTATATTATTAATTTAATCGCTTTAAATAATAAAATTTATAGATTTTAAACGACGTTCGGATTTTCCTCGATTAATAAAGGTTATTTTTATTAACTCGGAGAATTTTATTTAAAAATAGTTAATAACTTTAGCTTTTATTACTTTTTTTTCCTCGGTCGGTATTCAAAAGAATAGTTTAAAGTAATTAAAAATAACTTTTTTTAACTCGCTTATACCTTTAGGGATAACCTTAACGTAAAAGTTATTTAATTCCCTCTAAATATCTTTATTTTATCGGGGATTATAAATTTTAAAAAAACGTTTAAAATAAATAATTAAAATAGGTTAAATATTAGTAGGTATAGGTAGGTTTATATATTTATTAATTTATTTTTTTATATCGAAATTATATTAAGATTTAAATTTATAAATATAAAAAATAAATTTTATAATATAATACTTTTTATAAATATTTTTAAAATACTTTAAATATTCCGTAAAATATTTTTTTTTAAAATTACTTTTAAAATTAATTTTCTTTAGATTAAAAAATTTATATTAAAGAAAATATATAAATATTATAGAATAGGGGGTTAAATAATCCGACGTAAAAGACTTTTAAAAATAACGATAGTCGGAGTAAACTCCTATAGAATATAGGTATCCGGGTTATTAAAATTAATATACGAACCTAGGAAAAGGAGCGGGATATCCGGTATACCGAATAAGAAACGTAGTATAATTTTAAGTAATAGGATTTAAGTAAGTACGAGATTTATTTAATACGTTAGGAGCGTTAAGTTTTATAGTCGGGCTACTTTAATTAAAAAGGAGGCGAGGGGTTTTAGTATCTTTAAGGTAAACGCGGTTCGTAACCGGGGAAAAAATAAATAATAATAATTCCGGGGACTTAACCGCCGGAATAATTATTTTTATTATAAAACGAACCGTAGGAGCTTAAAACCTTTAATTATTATTAAGAAAGTTAATTAAAATAATAGGTAGGATATTATTAAATATATTAATATTTAATAATTATTATTATATTTACGTTAATAATATAGTTTTTTCTTTATATATATTATTAAAAATATAAAAACGGTTATTTTTTATAACTTTAATATATAAGTATAAATTATATATATTTAAATTAAAGGGAAAGTATTTTTATTTCCTTACTTTTAAATTCCCGATATTCTAAATTAAATTAATCCGGAAATCCCTACGATTATTTATTATCGTTAAATAATATATTAAAAGGATTCCTCCTAATTAAAAATAGGAGAGGACTTTAATAATTAACGCGGAAATAAAGTTTATTAATAAATTAGTTTTAATTAATACTTTTAATTTATTTCCCGGTTTTATCCGGACTATATATTTAACTTTTTACTTGCGGGTAAAAAGTTTAAAGTTTAATTAATAATAAAAAAGCTTTATTTGATTAAACGGAAAAAAATTATTTTTATTAAACTTTACGGGGTTTAGTAAAGTTATCGGTATTTATTATTATTTATAATTTCGTACTTTCTTTAGTACCCAGGGCTTATGAGTCTAGTTTGGACCTTAAACTTTGCTTAACCCGGGCACGACCTCCATTTAAAATAGTGAAAAAACATATAAAATAACCATAATACTATAAATATACCTTTAATAGGTCTTAGAATAAACATACCTGCGTAACAGTAACTCGCTCGCAGGCCGCACTTCACGTAGGACAAAGAAAAGACACTATGGGCTCGCAGGCCACATAATAAGCACCGGATTGGCCTAATCAGAGGGCCAGAATTGCCTGCACGCGTGCAAGGCACAAAATACGAAGAAAAGAATAAAAGTCGATGTCCTGTCTAAAATAGAATGTCCGAAGCAGACCGCTTATATACATGACCCCCTAGAACCCCTGAGTCCTCTGAGAGCCCCGCTTCTTTACTCATACTCTTAGGCCTGTGGCGCACCCCAAACCAACAGGGCTACTGTGGCCTAAAGCTTAGTTAATAGAAACTAGAACCTTCTAAAGTGGCTATAAGCTTACGCAGTAAGTTGCCACAATAGTGTGATTTACAGGGCATCTTTGCTACCAAAGGTTCTATGGATTTCCGTGAGTCTACACTAGACCCACCTAAGCCCACCAAATACCCCAAAGTGGTATAGGGGCTTCCAGGGCCTACAGGACCCACAGTAGGCCTACGAAGGCCTATATATAGACCTCTCCTCTCTTCTGTAGAATAGTTCCTTTCTTTTTTTCCTCAAGGGCACAAGTTTAAGGCTAAGGCCAAAGGCCAAGGCCAAAGGCAATAAAGGCAATTCTTATTCCTTATACCTCACTGTATTACAGTGCTTTACCTTCCTTCGGCACTGCCGTCGTATCCTTCCGCTTCCGCTTGCGCACTGCTGTATTTTACAGCAACCTTGTATAGGTTCTATATTATAGGCCTATCAGGGCTTACCAGCTAACAGTTAATAATAGTACTAATTATAGTAACTTAAATTTTAATCTTCAGTAAGCATAATTACTTTAAAGTATTAGCGGCAGTTATAATAGTAAAAGGTTTAGCTTTAATATTATTAATATAAATAGGCTAAAAAAAGATATTTCAAAGATAAAAAGTATAGGTTTTAATAGTAGTAAGTATTGATTTATAATCATTTTAATTAAACTTTAGTTTACTAAAAAAGACATAGTATTTTTGTTAATATCTAGCGCCTATAAATTTTGCTGTAGCTGAGTATACCGGCGGATACTGTAATAAGTGGGGAGGCCGTGAAAATACATGCAGGACACGGTGAAAATACAGGACTCGCTGGCGTCGATGAACAAAATACCCATTTCCGTGTTGATAGGTCCGCTGCATATAACATATAACTTACAGCTATCCTTCCTAGTGGAAATGTCAGGAATCTCTAGAGTAGCACGCACCCATGATCATCATACCGATTCACACGCATGTCCCGTATCCTCATGAACATGACATTACACCAGCCTCCCATTTTCAGAGCCCTCACTCCCCGCTACCCATGATACAAAATAAAAGGATTCTAGGACAACATCATCGGATGCAAAAGCCTCCCGCTTCATCTTCTTTTGCCTGCCTTGAAAAACACACATCACAAAACATGTAAACTATCGCTGAAGAAAAACAAAAAAGGACTACTTTATGCCATCTACTAGTTGACAATCTCCTCCGTCTCCTCCAGCACCTCCTCCATGATCTCCTCAATGACCTGCTCCTCACCGTTGGGCGCAACCTCGGCCGTCTTGGCCTTGAGGAGCTCCTCCACAGGGTCGGCGGGGAGGCCGAGCTCGGCACGCTCCTCGGCAACCTCCTCCTCCACCACCTCGCGCCAGTTGTACCAGTCCTCGAGCAGACGGCGTCTCTCCTGGACGACAGCCACGTCGGCGCTGCTGATACGCTCGGCATCCTCTTGCTCAAAGATTCTCGAGTACTCGCGGAGGTTCTTGCGGATCTGCTTCTGCTCCTCCTTGCTGAGGAGAGTGGCCGGGCGGGGACGCCACGCCCATTGCTTGAACTTCTCAATGGGCTCTTCACGGAGCTGCTCACCCCTGAAGTCGTAGATGTGGTATCCGTTCTCCATCTATGGTCAAACATCGTCAGCAAAGTGCACATTTTGGGAATTAGTGGAAAACAACATACGGCGTGCTTCCAGGCAGAGGCCCAGGTGGCAACGTAACGTCCAGAGGGGTCCCACTCCACGTCGGTGACGCCATAGTGGTCAGCAGTGTTCATAAGCTGCAAGTTGGCAGTCAGGTCCTTGTCCGACTCTGGCTTCTCGCCCTCGAAGTCGAGATCGTAGAAGTGGAGATCCGAGCTCTGCGTGTTGTGGACGGTGGCCACAACGACGAATCTGCCCTTTGGCGACCAGTAGATGGCGTTGCTGTTCTTCTTCTCGAGCGTCCGGAGGTGCTTGAAGTTACCAACAGCGTTCCCTTTGGCCTTTTCGGGGCAGAAGAAGGCAACAGACGTCTTGGGGGGAACAGCGGTGGCGCCAACGGGCTCAGTCGTCGTGATGGTGACGAATCTGTCACCCTTGGGCTCCCACGCAAAGTTGATGACTGTGTCCTTGATGGTGTCGACAACCTCGACGGGGACACCCTTCTCCTTGATGCGGAAAATCTCCAGAGTGGTGGCCTGGGACTTCTTGGACTTGGAATGCCTGTCAACCTTAACGCAGAGGTAGGCACCCTCTGACTGCCAGTGAAGTTTGGCATCGGAAACACTGAAGAGGTTGAGCGATCTGACGACCTGCTTGGAGGGAATGCTCATGAGACCGACTCTGGCGGGGTTGCTGCCAATCTCGGGGGTCCAGAAGCAGAAAAGCTGCTCATACTCCTTCACACCTTCTCTCTTCACGGTCGCGGGCGCCCAGTCAAAGTCCACCACGCCGTCAAGCTTCACGGTGGTCTTGTCGAGGAGGTTCATCCTGGGAAGCTCGTACACAGAGATGGATGTTCCCTGGTTCAGTCTGGCGACGTACTTGTCATCGGCAGACCACTTGAACGCCGGCCAGGGGAACTTGGCGGGCTTCTTGGCCTCACCATCGGGTCCGGCGGGTGTGTCCTGTTGGGCAAAAGAACGGATGGGCTTGCCGGTCTCGATGTCCCAGATCACATAGTTCTTTCCATCATCGTCGATAGACAGCTGGGGGTGGCCCTCATCAGGAATGGAAATAGGCCTGTTGGACCACGTAACCAGGTAGTTTTCGTTGGGCGAGAAGGCAACGAGGTTAACGAAGGGATGGGCAAAACGCCTGATTCTCGTCCAGGAGGCACCACCCCAGAGCTGAACACCCTGCTGGTGAACTGAGGTGAGATATGTGCCCAGGGGCGACCATTGCACAAAGGTCTCGGTCCAGTGTGGGCGGTCGACAATGTTCTCGGGCTGGTCCTTTTCGTTGTTCCAAAACACACCGACCGTGTCTCCCCTGTACATGACGAACTGATCTCTGCCGCGGCCCGAGGGGTCGGCCATGAAGGAGCGGAGGTGCTCCTTTTCTTGGAAAGGCTCGATGGTGGGGGGAGTGTACTCCTCATCGATGCGACCCTCACGGCCATAGCGGTCGATGTCGGTCAGCTTGTTGACGCGCAGAGTGTGCTTCTTGTCGAGAGGGGAGTAGTCGAGCTGGCGCACGGCTGCGGCGGCCTCGGCGGGCGATGAGTACTCGACAAAGGCAAAGCTGCAGTTTTATTAGAGGGGGACACATCATCCAAAAAAACAAAACAAAAAATGTGGACCGCCCACGTACCGCAACGACTTGCCATGGTCACCAAAGGGCATGAAGATGGCATCCTCGCTGGTCTTGCCGACCGTGTTGAGCTTCTTCAACAAGAACTTGACGAGCTTGGGCTTCTGCTCCTCGGTGACCTCGGGAAGGCCGTCGATGACGACAAAGGTGTCGTAGCCCTGCTCGAGCTGGACCTCATATTTCTCCTTGAGATCCGACACATCAACCTCGTCGTAGTCGAAATCCTCCTCGTCGAGGTTCTCGTCGCGCAGAGTCTCATAGGACGGCGCCATGCTGGGCAGACTCTTTCTCGGTTGGCTGGGTCTACTGCGAAAACGGGCTGGGGTGTCTCTTTGGCTGCTGGATTGCGCTGTCGCTGGACGTGGTCTGCTTCGATGTCGGTCGGGATAATTGAGATTTTGTGCGCTGCGCAGACTGTGGTGGGGTTCGAGAACGGTTTTTTTTGGTAGAGTTGCCAAAAGAGCCCCACAAATTTGGTTCTGCTGGGAGCTGCCTGGGACTTGGATTACTTCTACTACAGGACAGACAGAAGAGAGTCGACGGCTTCAATAAGGCATCAATGTCAATGCCAATGTCAATATTAGCCCAGTTGTAATTGTGCAGATAAGGTATCTCAGCGGCTTTATCCTTTGTCTGTCTCCCTCCTCGCCTTGTTCTGTGAGCTTGGGCAAAGATTCGCAGCGTGTAAAAAAAACTTCCCTTCCCGGCAGCGACCCAAAGCTGCTTGGCGAGGGGCTGCCGCAAGGTGACAGGCAAGTGGCGGACAGCTGTGTCAGCGGGCGGTGAGGGGAGCTCTCAACTTTTTCTGCCGGTCGCGACCGCAAAAAGATGGCCCGGCCAGGCAGCTTTGGCCTTGTGTGGTGCAGTGTTGACTGCCAGAGCCCGGTCCCCATAGCTGCCCCTCCTCCCCATGGCGACCCATAATACCTAGTACCAACTACGGATATCTCCTGAATCTTGGGCCACCGCAACTTCAAGTCGAGGCCAAACTAGGTACCTTATAGACCAGATATACCCAATCTTGAATCAGTGCCATGGTCTGTCTACTCTACCTATTCTTGTGTTCTCTCTTTTTCTAAACTAATCATACCCCGCTACAGGCTTCCTTCAGTCCCACCCAAATCTTCGAGGAGGGCACCACACAGGAGAAGGGTGAGAATGCCCGTCTCAGCGCCTTCGTTGGCGCCATCGCCGTCGGTGATCTGGTGAAGAGCACACTTGGCCCCAAGGGCATGGACAAGATTCTGCAGTCTGCGTATGTTGCTGGTCCTTGCTGTAGACGTTGTCATCATTTACTAATCTAGGTCATGTTCATCACAGCTCGACCGCCGAGATCATGGTGACAAACGACGGTGCCACCATCCTCAAGTCCATCTCCCTCGACAACGCCGCCGCCAAGGTCCTCGTAAACATCTCCAAGGTTCAAGATGACGAAGTCGGTGACGGTACCACCTCGGTCACCGTCCTCGCCGCCGAGCTGCTTCGCGAAGCCGAGAAGCTCGTCGACAAGAAGATCCACCCCCAGACCATCATCGAAGGGTACCGGATAGCCAGCCAGGCCGCCCTCAAGGCCCTCGAGGCCTCTGCGGTCGACCACAGCAACAACCCCCAAGCGTTCAGAGAAGACCTCCTCGCTATCGCGCGGACGACGCTGAGCTCCAAGGTGCTCGCCCAAGACAGGGATCACTTCTCCAAGCTCGCGGTCGATGCCATCATGAGACTCAAGGGTTCTTCCGACCTCAGCCACATTCAAATCATCAAGAAGGCCGGCGGCAAGCTCTGCGAGTCATACCTGGACGAGGGTTTCATCCTGGACAAGAAGATTGGCGTCAACCAGCCCAAGCGCCTCGAAAACGCAAAGATCCTCGTCGCCAACACGTCGATGGACACGGACAAGGTCAAGATCTTCGGCGCGCGCCTCAAGGTCAGCTCGACCGCCAAGCTGGCCGATTTGGAAAAGGCCGAGAAGGAAAAGATGAAGGCCAAGGTGGAGAAGATCAAGGCGCACGGGATCAACTGCTTCATCAACAGGCAGCTCATCTACAACTGGCCCGAGCAGCTTTTTACGGATGCCGGCATCATGTCGATCGAGCACGCCGACTTTGACGGCATTGAGCGGTTAGCTCTCGTGACGGGCGGCGAGATCACCTCGACGTTTGACCACCCGGAATCCGTCAAGCTCGGCCACTGCGACTTGATTGAGGAGGTGATTATTGGTGAGGATACCCTGATCAAGTTCTCGGGCGTGGCTGCTGGACAGGCGTGCACGATTGTGCTCCGCGGTGCGACAGATCAGCTGCTCGACGAGGCCGAGCGCAGTTTGCACGACGCGCTCGCTGTTCTTTCCCAGACTGTCAAGGAGCCCCGGACGACGCTTGGTGGCGGTTGTGCCGAGATGGTGATGGCCAAGGCTGTGGAGGGGGCTGCTACCCGGGTCGAGGGCAAGAAGCAGATGGCTGTTTCTTCCTTTGCTGTCGCTCTCAGACAGCTGCCTACTATTCTGGCGGACAATGCCGGTCTTGATTCCGGGGAGCTGGTTGCTCGCTTGCGCAAGGCTATATATGATGGCTTGACCACGTATGGTCTTGACCTGATGACGCCTGGTGGCGGCATCACGGACATGCGGGAGCTTGGTGTTATTGAGAGCTACAAGCTGAAAAAGGCGGTGGTTTCTTCGGCTAGTGAGGCGGCCGAGGTGAGTTTTTTTTCTTTTCCGTCCCTTTCGTGGCCAGTGACTGACGTAGTGTTTGCAGCTCCTGCTCCGTGTGGATGACATAATAAGGGCGGCCCCCAGAAGGCGTGAGAGACATTGAAGCGTGATGTGCTGGACGGTAGCATTAGCATGAGCGGGCCAGGCCTGTATAATATCACCCTTTTAGACGGCCTGAATGAAAAAAGAATATCGACATCATCTGTCATGTCACCACCGATACCCAAGAAGATAGCGTCAAACGATGGTGTGTTATTACTATGCAATCTTACACATCCCAAACAACCTCCAAAACCTCATCCACAGGCTTCTTATCCTTCCCCCTTGGTGCGCGGTAGATGTACAACTGTCTAAACTGCTTCTTTCTCTTCCCTTCCCCAGTCCAGTAGGCATCCACAAGCAACCACTGCTTTTTTTGTCCCTCTCCGAGCCTTGGTCGCAAGGGGCCGTAGGCTTCGTCGTAGTCGCCCGAGGAGGCGTACTGCCATGTTGCTTCGACTTTTTGGAGGTCGGGGAAGGAACCGGGAGGGAACTCGGTGTAGGAGTAGCCGTTTACCCAGAGACCCACGGTGGAGGAGG